CTGAATCAGCCGCATTTCCCCATAGCAAAATCCCATAAGACATTATGCTATGAAAATAACTAAAATAAACTAATCTAGCTGTCTCGACACTAGTGAGACCTCTAATATTTTTTACAGCATAGGCTGCAGAACTTAATCTGCTTGCTAATTTGGATATATGGGGGCCCCACTGGAGCTTTGCGTCAAGAGTGATGCCAAGAAAAACAGTGGATACAACAGGGCTCAAATCCTCCCCATTTAAAAACACATTGGTATTCAGATTTTTAACATTCGTTGTTGTAAATTTAACACAATCAGTTTTATTTCCGTTCAGTGCAATGCAGATTATTAACGTTAAACCAATGCACTAATTTTGATATAGCTATATTCACTTCGTCACATTTAAATGATTGACGTTTAAGTTTAAAAATCAAGGAAGTATCATCAGCAAATAATAATATATCATGACTATCTCCTACAAGGTGAGGTAAGTCATTATATTAATGACAAGAACAAGAAACAGGAATGGGCCGAGAATCGAGCCCTGAGGTACACCCATTAGTACAGGTGACCCGGAAGAACTTTTACCATTGATAATAACCTTCTGTTTTCTATTACTTAAATATGAAATAATAAGTTTAAGCGCTGTGTTCTTGACGCCATAGTACTATAGCTTCCTGATTATATGTCTCATGGTGAACACAGTCGAAGGCCTTGGAAAGGTCACAAAATATACCCAAAGCATCCTCCGAATTCTCCCATGCACAAAAAATAGTTTAATAAGCTCAACTCCAGCGTCAGTTGTCGAGCGACCCCTTGTATAACCGAATTGATTTTTATGTAGCAATTTATTAATATTAAAGAAACTTAACATATGATTTAAAATTATTTTTTCAAAAATTTTACTAAATGTTGGTAGTACAGAAATGGTCTAAAATTGGCGGGGTCTAATGTACTATCAGATTTAAATATAGGTATGACTTTACTATGTTTCATTAAATCAGAAAACACACCAGATTCGACGCTTATATTAAATATAGTGGCTAGATAAGGTGCTAATGTATCTATTATAGATAAAATAACTTTAACGGAAATCCCCCATAAGTCTGCCGTTTTCTTAACATCAATAGTTTTAAAATATTTAACAATATCTTTTGGCAGTACCCTATGGAATTTAAAAGTATTTGAACTAGCCTTTACATTTTGTTTGAGCAATGATTCAGCGACAGTAGGAGAAGAATTTAATGATTTTGTTGTCAAAAAAGGAACATCGGTAAAATGTTTCTCAAAAGCCATAGCAATTTTTTGATCAGATCGCGTTAAATTATTGTTAATATTCAATTGAAAATCCGAGTTGCGCGGTTTGACCTTGCCCGTTTCACTATTTATTATTCTCCAGGTCATTTTAATTTTGTCGGATGCAGTTTTAATTTTGTTGCTTAAATGTAAAGCCTTAGCAGTGGAGCACACTTTTTTAAATATTTTAGAATATGTTTTTACATAATCTCTAAATATAATACTACTATTATATGATCTTTCATCATAAAGGTCGTATAACCTTCGCCTACTTTTATAAATTCGTACTGTCGCCCATTCATTAAATGATTTGTGACTGTTAAAAGAGAAAGTTTTAGAAGTAAATATTCTACTAAATTTACAACTTTTAATTTCAAATAATGTAGTATACAAATAATTAGCACTATTTTTAAACGAAAGTGATGGAAGTCTTTTTATTATATTACTTCTAAACCTCTCCAAGCGATGTTCATTTATTGGAACAAGGTAGTGATACTAACTGTCCACAGTAATCTGAACTTAAATTTTGAATAATTGATTTGTGCAAGGGCTTAACATCTGTAAAAATGTTATCTATACAGGTCGCACTAGGCCCAGCAATAAGTGTTGGTTCTAAGAATAAATTTACAAGATTATACGATTTAAACAATGAGCGAAACTTAATACTAATGGAAGAAGTTTCAAAGAGATTGATATTAAAGTCTCCACACATTACAACAGACTTGTTCTGTTTACTAAGTTTGAGTAAAATTTCTTCCACAATCCTTTCAAAATGGTCATAAGTAGCACATGGGGGTCTGTAAACACTTACAACAATGAGGTGCTCGAGCTCGACACAAGCCATTTCTACAGTTCGTTCAACAGAGAGGCTCACAATATCCTTACGTTCTTTATATAATAATGATTTATCTGTTAATATTAAGGAGCCACCACGTAAACTTTTTTCTCTATTGAAGGAACTGACCACCTGGTGATTTCTGAAATTAAACATGAAATTATAATCTTTTAGCCAATGTTCAGAAATACAAAGGATGTGTATATTGTTACTATTTAAAAACAATTCAACTTCCAATTCTTTGCCCAACATGCCTTGTATATTTTGATGCACCAGGTGTAAACAAATGTATCAATACGCATAAAGGTCTTTTTGTTTATACGAGATTAGTGTTCGGTTTGTCAAATGCTCCAGCTTTGTTCCAACGTGCTATGGTGCAACTGCTGCAAGGCATAGATGGCATAGAGTGTTTCCTCGACGACTTGTTAATCGCGGCTCCGACCGCCGAATTACATTGGGAACGTGTCGATTTGATATTAAGTCGTCTAAGAGACGCCGGGCTAATGCTCCAGCGGTCGAAATGTTCTTTCTTCCAAAATAAAATAGAATATTTGGGTTTTGTTATTGATCGTTTTGGCATTCATAAAAATCCGGATAAAATAAAGGCTATTACACAAGCAAAGGTGCCAGGAAACGTCCGACAATTAAAATCATTTTTGGGTTTAGTTAACTTTTACCGTAGTTTTATACCGCAAGCGGCGGTCATTCTTGAACCATTACATAATTTACTGCGATAAAATATGAAACAGGAATGGATGGCGGAACATCAGAAATCATTCGATGCTATCAAAGACGAGTAATGCTCGCCGTGCGCTACCCCGCGGGTGCCGAGCGCCCGATCAGTTACGCTTCTCGTGCTCTCACTAAATATGAGCGTGGCTATAGTCAAATTATGAAAGAAGCGACTGCCATTATTTATGGAATCAAAAAATTCCATCAATATCTTTATAGCCGCCAGCAAACATTTATTTTGAGAACAGACCACAAGCCCCTCTGTACACGCCCCTAGCTGCCCCCACAAAGATCGACCATGTAGGGGCCCATACAGCTGTAGATTCGACGAGCAGCAGGGGACGGGGTCCAACGGCCTATGTACAATTGATCTACACGATAGAGATAAGGCTAGGTAAATAAATAGTACGTACCTGTTCAGAGGAGAAGACTGGATACAAGGCTCGGTCAGGCGGTAGGTGTAATGTATGTAAGTGGTGTTTAGTGGTGTGTTTATATATGTGGCCTGACACAGCTGAGGTGATCGGGCAGCTTGGGCCTGGTCCCCACAATGTAATTCACTCCAACGGACGTCACCAATTGGCAATTTCTTTCTTCCATTCACTATGTCAGTCTATCAACTTTATTGTACATTTAACTAGCTTCAAACTCAACTAAATCCCCGTTAATTATAATCAAAAACGTAACACACGGCACGACTAATGAACGGTGGGTCAAAGTTCACTTCCGTTTCACTCAGCAACAAATTATTTCTAGAACCGAACGCGACCTTCTAAGGCACTTAACGCGACAGTACAATTAAACATTAACTTCCAAACAATTAATCGACCCGGCGTCTAATTTTCTAGACTCCACAACTCCTCGTCGTTACATAAATTTGCTAACAAAGCCGACACAATCAGAGGTTATTATGTTCGTGACCATGCGGTCCGAGTAGATTCACTGCAATACTATACAATTGACGCAATTACTTTCAAACGAAATTACTTTAATCAGTCAAATACAATACAAGCCTCTTGTCACGAACTACAGCTTAGACAAAATAATCCGAGGCGGTCTTCACGAAACCATAAATTAAGTAGCGAAGTAATGCGCACAAATACTAAAAATGTAGACCATAAAAGCAAAACTGGTCGCACCACAAAATACGTTAACGTTACGACGGCGCCGATGCACTCAAGTTTCTGCAATATTACGACCCTGCCGCCGCTGGCGACAAAAAACTGCCCGATCTCCCACGCGTCCGGTGCGTGAGCGGGGAGGCGTGCGCGAGCCGCGTACCAGCCGGTGCCAGGTACATCGGAGGAGCGCGCCGATGCGCCCTGTTATGTTGTTTTTAAATTTTAGCGTTTGGCGCAAACACCCTCCTTTCTATTTTCTCCCCCGATAAAGGAGTTTCTCATATGTCCGAAGCGAGACTGCAACGGTATGCTTTATTTCTGGCTGCCTATAATTATAAAATTGAGTTCATTATTAGTTAATCTAATGTAGCTGATTATTTGAGTCGGTTTCCCATTGATTGTGATTCGTCGCAGGATACGGCGGACGTAGATGACGTCACCAGTTATGTTAACGCGCTAGCGGCTGCTGACGCGCCACTGCTCGCTTCATTAGACGAGTTGCGGGCAGGCTTTCATAAAGATAAAGTTCTGTCACTTGTCATGCAATATGTGACTAAATCGTGGCCACGGAAAGTGTCATTAGAACTTTTGCCATATAATAGTTGCCAGCATGAATTATATGTTGATAGCGGAGTTCTCATGAGAGGTCACAGAATTGTAGTGCCTACTGTTTACGGCCGGTTCACACATGTCTCCGTTTTACTGTTCCATTTTATCGTGTACGTTTTTTTTTCGTCGATGGCGTATGTAGTTGTATTAGCGACTTCACACATGGCACAGTATTCTTTATACCGTAAAACATATCGTTCCGTAAAAAAAATGACATTCCGTTTTGTCATCGAATACTGGACGACGGAATAGTAAAAATATACGGATACGTAGAATTTTAATTTTATTGTGCGTGGCGGGCGGAGTGTGCGGGGTGTAGGAGGAGGAGTGATGCGACAGGTTTTGTTTGACTCACATTTTCTATTGTACATTCCTAGAGAAAGCGCGCGTGCATTGTGTGTAATAATTATTATAATCACTGATCAACCATGTCAACCAAGAAGTGGGAAAAGTTAATAGACAAGGAAATGTTAATTAGTTTGGTGGAAGATAGGCCAGTCCTTTGGGGCAAGACGCTGGATAAATATAATGACAATACTGCAAGTATTGCAGGTTGGCGCGAAATATGCATTATTTTAATGGAGGATTTTGAGGCTATGGAACAAAGACAAAGACAAGAGTTCGGTAAGTGTCTGTTTTATTATTTAATGACATTCTAAATAGCTTCATCCTGCCATGGAACTGATCCAGCTTCGGACATGAAATAGTTCACGAATTCTGTTCGAACTAAATTAACAGTATTACCACCTCGTGTTCTTACTTCATGGGGTAGGTTTTCGTAACTAAATTCTTCAGATACGTTATTGTCACTGTTTGAGCCCTCCTTGTCGCTTATAAAGTTGTGTAGAATAGTACATGCCTTAACAGTCCATACAGCTGTTGTTTTATCGATGTCTAGAGGCCGATGGAATATTCTCCACTTATTAGCTAAGATACCGAAGCCACATTCAACGTATCTCCTAGCTCTAGTCAAACGATAGTTGAATATTTGCTTATTTTTGTCCAGATGCGTCCCGCTAAACGGCCTTAGTAAATTGTCGTGTAATCCGAAACCTTCGTCTCCAATTACCATATAAGGAACACGCGTTTCTGAGTCTCTTGTCAATGGGCATGGTGCTGGTATTTGTAGACTGCCGTCTAGCATCGTTTTCCAAAATGTTGTCTCCTTGAATATTGATGAATCGCATTATTTTCCATAAGATCCGACATTGACGTATACAAAGCGATAGTCGGAGTCTACGATCGCTAATAATATGATGGAAAAAAATCATAAAAATATCAAATACAGTAAACCGCTATTTAGTGGTTTTTTAAGTCGCATATGTTTTCCGTCGACAGCTCCGAGACAGTGGGGAAAATTAGGTTTTTTGTTAAATACACTTGCTATCTGTTTCCATTCGTCGACTGATGTAGGAAGTCGCATAATTTTTTCACTTAAATTGTTCCATATGCATCTTGAAACTTCTTTAGTAATGTTGCTAACAGTCGATACACTAACGCGATAGGTGTAATGAAGATCTTTAAATGAACACCCGGATGCTGCATACCTGAAAATAAAATTAAATGTTTTATTACTTGTTTTAGGAAAACTTGTTATGAAAAAGTGGAGACAGATGGGAGATGCCTGGGCGAGAACACTAAAAGATAAAAAGAATTGCAAGACGTCTGGTTCCGCTGTCTCAAACACGAAGCCCTACAAATACCATAATCAGATGCTGTTTTTGAAAAAAGTAGTTGCTGCTGGTGAAACGCACGAAAGCGTCTCACACCGAAGATGACACCAGGACATCGAATGAACCTAAAATTGAGCAGGATGATCGCAATTTATCGTTCTTTAAAGGTATTTTGCCGTCCTTGGCTTTGCTTGATGATGACCAAACTTTGGAATTCCAGTCAGGGGTGTTAAACCTATTACAAATATTAAACATAGGAGAGTTGGCCAGTCAACTTATGACTGGTCAGCCTATACACAAACATCTGGTGCTAGTCACTATCAATCCCAGAGCTATTTTAGCAGACCACAGCCTACTGATAGTGCACTATCGCCAGTACAACCTGTATACAGTGATGCTAGCAGACCACAGTCTACTGATAGTGCACTATCGCCATTACAATCTGTATACAGTGATGCTACGTTAGATCTGTCTGAGTTTTAAAAATAAAACTACGTACCTTAAAAATATCGCTAGTTTTTCTTCTGGGCAGATACTTTTCCTCCAACGAGTATCTTGCTTTTTTAAATCCTTTTCCAATAGTTTAAGAAGTTCATCAAAAGTAGACATTGACATACAAAAGTAATTGAAAAATTTCGATTCATCACCTCGTAACTGACTCATAAGTACCACTGTAAGCACCCTCTCTAGATCTTTGGGCCATAAGTGGATGCTGCCAATAACGTCGAATCTTCCTTCTCCGACGATAGTACCAATACAACACGACAGCGTTCATCTTTGTAGAATAGCGGCGGTATACTGCGAGTTTTCTGTTCACACATCGCATCCAGTAATGACGGATCCGTTGAACGTTATACGGTGCCTATCTGTGAACAGAGCATAAATTTATGACATATCCGTTAAAAACGTACCAGTAAAACGGATTCCCATGTGTGAACGGGCCCTTATAGGACTGCTGTGCTACAAGAACTGCATGCTGCGCACTTAGGAGTAATTAAAATAAAAATGATTGCTAGAGAACGCCATTGGTACCCGGATATCGACAGTGACATAAAAAACATGGCTTCTAACTGTGATCGTTGCATATCCTTGCGACCGTCTCCTGCGAAAGCTCGCTTGGAGCCGTGGGGGTGGCCTGATTCTGTTTTCGAAAGAATCCATTTAGATTACCTCGGCCCAATTCATGAAAAGATTTTTTTTGTATTAGTCGATGCGCATAGTAAAGAAATAATGTCAAATATTTTATCAAAAGAGCTTATCAATAATTAAAAAAAATTCACGTTTCGGTATTCCCAATAAAATAGTCACAGACAATGCCAAAACCTTTGTTTCGTCTGAATTTTCTAAGTACTGTACTGATAATGGCATAATTCACATTTTATCTCCTGCGTACTCGCCACAGATTAATGGACTCGCCGAGAACGCAGTAAAAAACTTGTAAGCGGTTTATTGTTAATGCTATCAAGGACTGTGGTTTTAAAGATTTCGCTAACCACTTAGATAACTATTTGTTTCACTATCGGAATACACCGCATTGTACGACGGGATTATCACCTGCATCGCTTATGTTCGGTCGGAATTTACGTTGTAAACTTGATTTAATCGCTGTTAAGCGTTTAGTTTCAGATCGAAAACCTCTAATACATAAAAATGTGTTAGTGAATCAAAATCATCAAAAATTATGTTTTGGTGGTAAAATTAAAGCATTTTCAATTGGGGAAAAAGTTTGGGTACGAGACTATCGAGCTCGAGAAAGTTCTATATGATGTGGCTATATAGAGATCCGATATCATTTGGAGACGTCACGTGAATCAGTTAATGTCAGCCAAATCATATAACAGCAGTCGTGGTGAAGCGGCGTGGACGTTTGAGGATATGGACGTTGGGAGCACGGCAGATCCCAGTGCCGCCTCTCATGATACACTGGTATCATTACCTCTCAATAGCCCAGGCGTTGCGCTAGCTGCACAACCATCGGGACCTGACGGCGGTGAGGCGGCACCGGTGCTGACTCACGCGGAGTCTTACGCGGAAGACGTGTCCCCACCGCCCCAAACCTCCACGACCATGCGCACTCGTTCTGGCCGCGCTATAAAACCACCTAAACGCTTAATTTTATAATATTTATACTTACTAAATGTAATGTAAACATTTGTTTTGTTTATGTTTATTTTTTGTGTATTCATAATAAACGTAGAGGAGAGGAGTTAAAGTCGAGTGATTAATGTCAGTTTTTTTATTATACATAAAACAATGTATGTATTGTACTAATGTCTTTTTGATTTAAATTGTGTAAGCGCAACATGTCCATCAATTATACTACTTAAGCATTTGTTGCAACTGTTTATATATTGTATATTATGTTGTAATCTAAGTGTGGAGGAATGTAGCATATTATATCGGTAGATAAGAATAACGGTTTCTACGGCTACCCTGTATTGTGTGAATTTAAGGTACTCTGTGGTGTGAATAAATGATCGTTTACGGTTCGGTGTGTTTAAACCCTTCCCATAATCCTTGAATAGCAAGGAAATTACAGGTGATAAGCGAGCACAAAGTCCACCTTGATGGTAAGTGGTTCCTGTGACCCATAGACATCTACATCTATCCTCGTTTGCGAATAAAATGCACATGCGTTGTCAGCCGTGAGGACTAAGATGGAATGCCTCTTTTTTAGTTAAAAGAATATCCGGTTCTCTACACTCGTCAAACGAATTTGCTATTTTACTCTGGTATTCTGTGAGAGCGTGGTCCTTCCCGGTCGAGCCGACGCGTTCGTGCTACAACTGTACTGTTGAAATGGCTGTAGCATGGCTCTACCACGTATAAGTTGTCACTCTATCTTATAAAAAAAGTGTAGAGTATAGAGTTTTAAATTTTAATTCTGTTTAAATAATAGTGACACTTTTTTATGTTCGTTTTTTAATAGGCGTTAATAAAAAGGCTTAAGCACAATCGCTTCAGTTCAGCCATTAAAAATGTTTATTTATGTCTCAAATAGCATACAAATAACCTTAACCAAAGAACTTAATAGAAAGCAGATTTTTCGATATTCTTTGCTTTTTAATCACACATTTATTTAAATTATTTGTTTTTTGAAATTACAACAAAACATAAAGTGGTAATTATATTGGTTTTTATCAAAAATCCTTATCTTAAAATGCCTTTTGACTTTTAGCATACTATTATTTATTTAGTGCTTTTAGTGCCAAATAATGTAAGTTATTTTTTTAGCACTTAACTTAAACATAAATCGGATTGTAAGTGTATTCTCTGTTTAAAACTGTTGAATCACAGAATGCTTTGCTCAGTTTTCTGGGTCGACTGGAAAAATAATGGAAGGTCGGTTATTTTTCTAAGAATTTTTACTACACAAAAGTTGTCTCTCTGTGTGATATGTAGAGATGACAGCTTTTGTAGAGGCCTGGTACTTTTCTTTTGATAAGAAGACTAAAAATTGCAGCCGGTTGGACCTATATAAAGGCAGAATTATACTATGTGCTTACAAAAACTTCTATCGTAAAAGTTTAAAAGATAAATACTCGTAAATACTTACGTCGCTAACCTTACAAGACGTTTTAATTTTTTGCCTTAGTACTTAGGAGTAATCAACCAAAAAATGTAATGATATAGGCTCTTAATCTTACGTCACAGGTTTCACTTTAGTTACAAATAAAACATGTCATCAAAAGTATAAAATAGGCTGCAGGTGTTCACAACGTTGTGCATAATACTGTTGTTTATATATTATCATGTGTATCAAGTACATCAGAGAGTTTTTACTGTTTATTGATAACCGTGTATTCCATCTTAGAATTTTAGTTCTGATATATGAAAATACATCCGCATTTTGATTCCTAATTTAGGACAGATGTAGGTTTCCATGGGCCTAAGTATCCACTTACTATCAGGTGAACTTTGTGTTCGTTTGCCACTAAAACATAATTTCAAACTTGGAACATTTTATTAATTTTATCATATGATTTTTGTATTTATTTTACGTATGGTTGATACATTTTTATGAATTAATGGGTTCTTTCCTAATAATAATTTCTCCAACGAATTACCAGTGAACAATGACACCTGTTGTAAATGTTATTGAGAATCAATGGCCTAAATAAATTACACATTGCCATGGTAAATCGTGACGACCTGGTAAGACATACAGGAAGTCGATGGATGCAGGTGGCTCGGGACCGTGCTTTGTGGCATTCTTTGGGGGAGGCTGTAATGAATGAATTAATGAAAAAATGGTAAATCGACAATTTTATATACATTACTTTTTATTTTAACGTAATATTTAAATTCTTTTACAAATAATTAATAATAATATTTAAAACTTTTATAAATTTCCATAATGCCTCTCGATTAAAATTACTACTAGATTAAAATTAGTGGCCTCTTAAAAGAACGTGGTAGATGCAGAAATTGCCACTGATTGTAATGCGAGTGAAAGGGGATTTTATCAATTCCTAATAATAACCCGCTTCGGTTTAAATGATTTTAAGGGCTTATATTTGCTATGGAAATTATTTCTTACTTGGTCACTCTCAATGGCTCTGCTCCGTATCAGCAATGCTGCCGATTTGTATTTTTAGAACCAACAAAAACATAGTAAAATTAGGCATAATTGTAGAGATGTTACGTTCCAGTACCAAAGTATTTTTGATGAAAGACTATCGGAATTTTTATTATAATTAAATATAAAACTTATTTAAAAAATTGTTTTAAAGATTCGAAACAAATATTTCTTCTAAATTTTTCATCGCAATAAGGCTCAAAACTGACAAAGAAAAAACTATTGATAAATCCAAATGTGCATGCCCTAAGCACATTAAAAAAATTACTTATAACATGATTATACGTAAATTCTTTAAAGTATTTTAAATACATACAAGTTTTCATTAATTACAATACTTCCAATTTTCCAATAATTTTATGTCAAATTTCAATTTAAAAAAACTTGGAATATCTAAAAGTGCACGACTCATAATGCTCACATGATCATCATATCATCATTCAAGTAACTCCATAAAGTCCAAGACGTATTTGAGTATAAATATACTTAAATATATACATCCTACTTGCTTTTAGTACCTAGTACTATTATTTATTCTGTGCTTTGAAAATATTGTAATAAGAATCTCTGATTATACAGCGATCTTTTTGAGCCACTGCAAACAACCGATACAGTATCCACTCATGACGGCGGCTGACGCCGAAATGAGTGACCGGGGCAGTCCATTTATAAAATAAATGATTACCAGGCTGCTTAAACACAGAAAATTTCCGGGTTTCGACGCCGAAAAAAATTATAACAAAACAAAAAAAAATTAAACTGCCTTTTTCATTCCATGGCTTCCCACATGATAGATTAAAAGATTAAAAAATAGATTGAGTTAAAAGCTTTTATATAATGGATTTCCGCAAAGTAACGCCTGATTCTATTAATTAGATTGAGTTAATCAATTGATATTTTCAAA